GCTGGGGCCGACGAGGGTGAGCGCGGGCGCGTGCCCGGGGCCGACGAGCGCGGGTCTTCGCCTGGGGGGAGGCCAGCTCTTCCTCTGTGAGACGGGAGCAGCGTGGGCTGGTGCCCCGGCAGCGGCCGAAGGAGAAGAAACGGGGCTTTGCGGCCCAGCGGGGAGGTCACGGGGCCATTTTTCCCTCCCCAGCGACGCGTCTGCCGGCTTCTCCCCACGCCTTGCCCCCGTGGGAGGAAGCTGCAGGTCCTCAGCGCTGGCGGGTGCCGCACAGGCCCAGCTCTCAGAGTGCTGCCCTAGGCTGTTCGCGCCCTGTTTCCTTCTCACAGGTTTGCCCTTACCGTGTTCTTTTTAGTCAAGTAATGGCCATAAAAGCGTTGCAGTGTTCTTATGACTGATAGTTTCAACCTCACGGCCTGTGGAGGTGCTTGGCAGCAAAGCAGGTTGTAAATCCCAAGTTGTGTGTTAGGTGGTGGGAGCGTATTTTCTATTTTGTGTAACACCTGCCTAGACACACAGAACATGCTTTCCATTTCCAAATGCTTCCTTGAGTTCGCTCTCTATCTTTTATTTGTATCAGGCCTTGGGCTCCTTGTACGCCTTTTACAAGGGAGAAGTAGCATGTGATTCTTTGTAGGTTCATGGCTGTAACTGTAGCTAAGGGCAAATAACTGTTTTTTCAGCATCAAGCCAATGTCATGGGACCAAGCAAGCCATCTACATCTGATATTACATTTGCATCCAGTACCCCGCTATTCAAGAATGAAGCCACAGTATTACAAACTCAGGTATTTGCATTCTGTAGTGATACAGAATTGTTTTTCCTCTATGGCCAGTACAGAGAGAGAATCATGACCCACTTCGTGGGACAGCTCACTAGGGGGTGTCAAATCTTTGTACTTGTTCTCAGGACAATGCCATGCAAAGCATGATGCTTTCCTTCTGTGGAATATGTGGAAATAGGCCAGCGATTGTATGAGTAAATGTTTGCCTCTTACTAGCCTTTGCTATGTGGAAGCAGAAGATAAAACTTTTATTCTGGTGCTGAGTTTCAGCCATGCATTTCCCTGTTGTCACATATACCTTATCTTCCTTTTACCTTTATGAGTTAATTAATGACTTTATATGATATAATTATGGGAAATCATATTACTAATGTTACATTTTTGTTATAACTAATTATTTACGCTTTTGTAATACTTAAAATCTCCATGATTATATTGTCCATTTCCTGGACATTCAGACCATTTTTTTCAATGTATGCCTATGATGCAAAAACAATACTAATGGTATTTACAAAAGGATCTACATGCTTACATGAAAATAATTTTGAATGCTGGTGTTTGTTTGGGTAGGGAAAATGGCTTGCATATACTGAAGAAGTGTCAACATCACAGAATATGTCCTGAAATGAAGGGAGATCCATTTTGCCTACTATTGTGTGCTAGAAATGCACTACCTGTGTAATGTGCTCTGTGTGACATTAGCCTTTGTTTAAACTTTGGAACAGCTCCAGTTTAATAGGAATGTGCCTGCAGTTCCAGAGAATCTATCTGTCAGATTTCCTAGCCCTTGTCCAATTATAATAGAAAAGCTGAAGCCATCCAAGGATCGAGGGAGTCTAGCTGCAAGTGAAGATCCCAGCATAAGAAGCTCTGGCATGTTTTCAGTGATATCTGAAGAAAAATTAAAATTTGCCATTCAGCTAGCCAAAAGGGACATAAGACAAAGACATTGTGAAGAGAAAGTAAAGCAGCAGGTTTTTGGAGTTGCTGCCAATAAGCAGTTGTTGGCCAAGAGTTCCCAACAACACAAAAATAAACTATTCCAAAGTCTGGAGGAGAAAAATGCAGCGAATTCTTGGACTCCCTTGAAACGCCAGCAGAAACTTGGTCAGCCTTCCAAAGTGGAGACCAGCAGCCCTGGTGCTAAACTTTCTCTCTATACACCGAATGAGGGAAGGCTAATACCATCTGCATTAGACTCTCCACCCACCCGTGACCCTGGACCAGGTTCTAAGAAAAATATCAGAAAAAAAAATGATGAAAATATACAGGAAGTTCAACGCTTGCAAAAGGAATTGAGGAGTTGTATCCAGAAAATTGAAGAACTGTCTAAAAAAGGTAAGACTAAAAAAAATATTTTATATGAATGAATGATAGTTTGTTTCATTGTTTCTCTTGTTTGGCTTGAATTAGAATCGGTGTTTAATTATGTATGTTTAAGGACATGTTTTTCAAAAATAAATGAAAAGTAAAATGGCTAGGTAGTTTAACTAATAAATGCCTGCAATGAAAGTAAATTAAAGGTAGGCTAAATAACATCTTGTGTGAAAAACATTGGTGCCATAAGACTTTATTGGTCAGATCTTCGGACTGTGGAGAATTAGCATTGTAGTTAGCCACTTCATTAGCAATAATAAGAAAGAGACCAGAAGTTGACAATATTTCCTTTAGCAAGTCTGATTCACCTAATTTATGGCTATGTGTTGGCTTATTGAATGTGCCTTCTGACCTTTCATTGGTTCTCTATGTTATTCACTTGACTCTTCAGGCTTTTCACGGGTCAGATTAAGATATAAGACTCTGTATTTTATGCTTTTTAGAGAGAGGTGA